TCTGAGGTGTAGACAATAGAATATCACCCATTCGAGTGTTGGAACTTGTAACGCGGCTGCTTGGGATTTGTCAGATATAAAGTTGGGTGTGGTTTCGTTTCATCCAATGGCAGTGTCCGTGACAAGGTAACACAAGGAGCCGCTTGTGGATTTGACAGCTCTAATGCAGTTCCACACCTGACGCCGCCAAAACAACCGCTATGTGGATGTCGCTAGCGCGGATCTGATAGAATCTAGCCCTTAGTGTAGTAGAATTAGGAATAGCTCATCATCCTATGTTAGGGTCCAGCCGAAGAGCATTCATATCTGCTTACATCATGAATACCATTACAGATGTAGGATCTTAATTTGAGCCAGTTTGCTACAGCAGGAAAATAATCCTGTAGCAACAGGAAACGTGAATTATTATGTGGATTATAAGTAATGGACATTTTTGTAGGGGTTGATACATTTTTCGTTAGGGCAAATCAAGTCTGAGAAATTTCTAAGCGGAATTTACTAACTCTAGAAGACTTTCAAAATGCCAAATACACTACAAGTTTGCATTTCCTGCGCTCCAGAAAAATTATCAGCAACAAAAGTGATCAAATTAAGATCCTACATCTGTATTCTTTAAACAAGGTTTGACTTCAATGACTTCACTATAAAATATATTGACTGGGAAAAAATACAGAGGCACAGTATCTGTCACTGGCAATCTGAATCTGCACAACGAACTATTAGATTAAGTTAGATCATTTTCAAGTACGGCCATATGTTGTACAGTGGAAATTAGGCGAAATGAGACGTATGGTGGTTGTCTTTTTCCCTCCCAAAATTAAATGTCTTGGGTAGACCTTTCCACTCACAGCCCATGACATCCCGTATAAGGGTTGAAAATGGCAGATTTTGTCATTGATAAGCGCCTTAATTGGAACGCAGTGGCTGTACAGTAACACGATATACATGACGTCAGAGCTCAGCTTCTCCTCTTCACAGCTATGCCGTTATAAACTTGAGCACCACGCAACAAGAAGATGCCCCCATCCCTCCCGCTAATTGGGCTACTTTTGCACATTTGTTGTAGTCTGAGTGAGGGAAATGCTGTAAATCAAGAGGAGTCAATGTGTTCTAAAAGATGAGACGTTGAGGATTGTAATAAATACTGCTTTGATGTCATACAAGCAAACCACAAACCAGCTAGTCCATATGTGCACTTCACATTTCCAAAACTAATTTACAGTATCAACGTTTATGATCGCTATTTCTGATCCACAGTTACAAGGATGACATGTGTTGTACCCTGGTTTGTCCTGAACAGAATGAGCTTATGTTTGTCATATTGTGAAGAAAATTAGCTGTGGAACACACACTTGAATGCCATCATGACTCCATTCTATGCGCAACAAAATTACAATCTGTTTGTCTGAAGTGTGTCTTGAAAGCTTAACACTGTAAAATCGTATTTTATACCTTAGCTAGCTATGTTGGCAATAGAATAAGCTTTCAAGTTATGCCCACCTGACCCAGATTGCGATTTATAATGGAACGTTTTTGGATTGTGTAAACAACAAAAGTAATTGTGTGATGGTGGGAATGCAGGGCTGTGTTCCAAACAAAAAACTACAAGTGTGCTTGCTTCAGTTCCTCAATGGCAAAGCTAGGAGAGCTCAAAAAAAATAAAAGCACCTTATAGTTGAAGGCTCTTTCCTTGAGTCATAAAAGTGCATTGAAATTATTTAGTAACTGTGCACAGTTCGGAGAAGTGTGTGGCCACTTAGAGACACCAGTTAGACCTCGAACTCAAACCCTTGTAATCTGTTTTTTTCTTATCTTGCACCTACTTCAAATTGTCAATGTATATTTTCAGATTTCGTTATTGACAAATGCTGTGAAAAGTACAGTAAATGTGAAATGCACATAAAATCAACAGTGTAATGTTTGGATTTAGTCTTGTCAGGTGAACTGTTGTGTCCTCACCTTTTGGTCTGAGAATTTCCCCATAATCTCCAGTGTTCCCTTTTAATTGGTACCATGGTCATCATGCATATGCTTTTTATAGTTCTTCTGTTAGAAACATTTCAATTTGTCCCTATCCATATAGGCCATTTTCCACAAGTGTAATGGGTTAAAGGATGAATGGCCTGGAAATCAGGGCACACCGTAGCAAAATGTTTTGCAACGGAGAACAAAACTGTTTCTTATTGGACAAGATCAAACAGTACCTCCCTGCTTCACTGTTTCAGGAAGTTTTTCTTATTTTTTTTTGCCTACTGAACAAGACCTAGGCTATTTAAGTGTCTAAACAGGGAGGCCACCTCTCAGTAGTGCAAGACAGAGGTGATTTATGACCAACTAGACTGGTCTTATTTTGTGACTTCAAGGGACCAGGGAAAAGTAGCTTGACAACATTTGAAACCCCACCTCTTTAAGGAATACCTGGGATAGGATAAAGTAATCCGTCTATCCCCCCTTACCCCACCCAAAAAAAAAATATATATATATATTGTAAAGTGGTTATCCCACTGGCTATAAGGTGAATGCACCAATTTGTAAGTCGCTCTGGATAAGAGCGTCTGCTAAATGACGTAAATGTAAATGTAGCTAGGAGTTTGCTTTATTGAAGACAGAACAGTAGTTGGATTAAATTATTGATGGACTGCCTCTTTCCATACCTAATTTAAACACTGGTCAGGACATACAGTATTAGCCTTTAAAAGTCAATATTTGAGCCAGGATTACAGATAAAACCTGGAATGTGCCTGGGGTACTTGTGCATGTACCCACACATGAATGTGTATGTAGTGAAGTAATGTTGTCAAATAGAAATCTCTAATTGAGACAGATTCACTAGTTAAGTGGCTGGAGTGCTTGCATTGAAGGGCTTCCCTAGCACAATCCCCCTACCTTCACCTCTCTCTCTTTGTCTTGGAAGGATCAGTTTCTCTTTCTCTCTCTCTCTCTCTCACTCTCTTTGTGTCTGCTGGTTGCAGGATGGTTTCATAAGTACCATGGCCCTGGTGTTGTTTAAATCCACAGAATGAATTGCTTTTCCCAGAGCATAAAACATACCGCAGGCAATCTGAGATGCATCCCTCCCCCTCCCTGCCTTACATAGCCAGTCAATGACCCAGGGAGCTATCTAAACCATGGAGGACACATTCACCCCGGCTGGGGTTTCAGACTGCAACAACAGCACTGGCCTGGATGGAACGACGATGCGTTTCATCATTTGGCCCTAGTCTTAACACCACGCACATTACATTACATTGAGTTACTGGATATGCGAGGGTATTCTCCTTGCTGTTGGTGTCTGTGAAGAGGAGGAGCAGGACAGGAGAGTTTGGGGAATGTGACTCAGCCATGCGATTATTACTTCCATTGATACATCTGCTGCTGCGGCCCACTCCATCATTAAGGGAGAGAGCTCCCACGGTGAATTGACAAGTCCAACTAAGCTACTGTTTCAAGAGATTTATTAAGTATACTGTATTTGGTTGGTTGTTGGGGAGACTACAGTACAGCGGGGAGGTGGTCCACAAGGGTCGAACCATTCTGTAGTTGGGAAACAGGTAACACATAGGCCTACTGTAACACGTATACATTCTGCCATTCATGATGAGCAAAAGGGAAAAAAAAGTATTATATGATGTGAGAAATCTACTTGTGAAATCAAACACATTTTTCTGAAACGTTAAATAATTTGCAAGATTTCTTCAGAAGACATAAAAAGTGGACAACATGGCTTTGAAAATGTTGTTGATGGTTGGTTTGAAAGAATTGCACCATCTTCCTTGGCAATATAATTATACATTTAAGAGAGGGGTAAAGTGAGAGATATGACCGTGTGAGTGTAGACTGTGAAAGGAGAGCACTGAAGTTGCACTCGTTTCCACTGACAGTAGCGGTGGAGCACGAGAAACCGAGAAGAGACAGAGTGAGATGAAGGGAGGGAAGCATGCACTGCACACTCTCAGAATGACAATGAGGGTCAACTCCAGTACAAAGGAGCACAGCACTGAGCACAGACAGAAGACAGAAGACAGGCTTTCAGATGACAGGCTATTATCAATAAGATTTCACTATGAAAACATAAGCACTGTGTATGATCTATCATTATAAGGCAATCTGAGGATACCTAATTTTCAGTGCTCATCTTATTTCATCTTGCACAAACCTAGAAGAAATTATAAAAATGTATTTGTGTATCCCCAATATTTTTTCAAGATACATTTATGGGAATCATGCCATCGATTGTCCATATATATTATATTATATTATTCCGGGATAATCTCTTTTTATATCCACTCAGATTACACACTATGAAAGCTCTAGAAAAAGACAGGATGAAAATGACCCTTTGGCATCTCATTTCACGGTGGAGGAAGAAATGCATTTGTTTTATGTATAGTAGTTTTATGCTCTTGTTAAGGTCAGCTGTAGAGGGCAGGATGTTCTGGGCACACTGTTGCTTGTTCAAATGGATGGATTTGTTAGCTTCTAAAGGAGCCTGTTCATTCTACAGGGTTTTGCCTTTGAGTTTTCGCTTTCTCTTATAAAAAAGAATACTACTTAAATAGTAATATCACAAACTGGACTGTAATAAACATTTAATTACAACATTTTGCAGGAGTTATAAACCAGTCAAATCTGAAAAATGTAAAACATCTTAAAAGCATTTTATGACCTTTTAATAAAAGCATATTATTTTAAGTTGGGTAGCAGGCATAATATTTATTTTATCAATCAATCATTCCTAATGCTGCAGGTGTATATACGAACGACTTTGACTGGAATACATTTTTGGGGAGGTGAGTGGCAAAAGCCAGCCTTTGCCTTTTGAAAGCAGCATTTGAAAATCAAAACAAATGTTAGCTGCTTGAACATTTCCGACGGATTTGGACTCTAGGAACTCCCAGATTTTGTACAATTAAATTAGAACACCTCCAGGTAAGTCCCCCAAAAAGGGAGTGCAATGTAGCTTTATTCCTCACACTGAACAAATTAGTCAGTCAGTTTTATTAAGTGTGTATTCCTCTTGCATTGCGCAGACAGGAAGTAATCCAGGAAGTGTGTGGATCGAAGCAGGAAGTGCCTTCTCTTCTACATGAACATGTCATCATAGCCTGGCGGCGGCATGTGATCTGGGTCTGGCCTGGAAACCAAAGAGCATAATACATAATTCAAACACACATAAATAGTACTCTTCCACAAAAGCCCAATTCAAGACACAAATCTGGTGGGCAATTTCTGTGAGGGCCCACCATACAAGCTATTTATTCACTTAGATGATGACATAGGCCTATCTTAGATTTGATTCAAGTAAGACTGGCTGACCTTAGCTTTAGTTACGTACAATTGACTGACATTTTAATCGCAAATACCCACAGTGCCTAGTGAAAGTCTACACACCCCTTGCACAGTCTTCACATTTTGCTGCCTTAAAATGTAATCTAAAAAGGGATTTTTTCCCTACAGACCTACACAACCTGCTCCACATTTTCAAAGTGAAAGAAAGTTATAGAAAATTGTCCAAATTAAAGAATAAATTCAACAAAGATGTCTTGATCGCATACCTGTATATCTTCACACCCCAGAGTTAATGCTTGGTGGAAGCACCTTCGGAAGCCATTACAGCTGTGAATAATTTTGAATAAGATTCTACCAACTTTTTACAACTCTTATGGCAACATATATCCATTGTTGTTATCAAAATTGCTCAAACTCAGTAAACTTGGTTGGGAATCATTGATAGATGGCAATAATTTCAAGCAACTTTAGGCTCAGACTGAGACTAGACCACTCAAACACTCAACACCTCTTGGAAAGCCATTCTAATGTGTCTTTGGGATTACAATTTGTGTAATTGTCTCGCTGAAAAATTAAACTATCCCAGGGTTAGGTTTTCAGAAGACTGAGGCGGGTTTTCTTCTAACTTTTTACCTGGGCTTGGCTACTTTCATATTTGATCCTGACAAACTCCCCAGTCACTGCCGATGACAAGCATACCCATAACATGGTGCTGTCAAAAACAATGGATATACAGTTTCCGCCAAATATGTCACCCTTCCACTTTTCTTAAATAGTTCCCTATTTCTTCTCAAATAAGTTTATTTTTTATTTATTTTTTACTTAAGTTTACAATTTTAATTTAGAAAAAAATGTCAAATGGCATGGACAAAATTATTGGCACCCCAGCGCTAGCCTTTGGCCAATACTGCCAAAAAACGCTTCTTGTAGCCATCAATGAGCTTGCTGCACATTTCTACTAGCAATTTCTTCAGCAGCAAACTGCTCTAATTCTTCAAATGTTTCAGGGGTGCCATCTAGGGCTGTGGCGTCACTAAATTTTGTCAGCCGGTGATTGTCAAGCAAATAACTGTCGGTCTCACGGTAATTGACCGTCAATTAACATAAACACATTTAGCATCGCCTGGCTTCCACACATAGCCAACAAGCCACTGATGCAGACCTTTGGAACATCTACATAAAAAAAAGTCTAATAAATCCATGTAATATAGCCTACACCTTCACAATAAATCAATTTTTATTTTAGACGGGTCTAAAGAAGCATGATATGAAGAAAATGTAGTCTATTTGAGAAGAACAGAATAGCATACTCTGAGTTGACCTTATGTTAGGTCCTGATCTGGTTATGGCAAATGGCTGTGGGCTACACTAGTTCATTTAGCAGACAAGATTTGCTTGATATTCCGTGGCATTATTCTATAGTATGAAGAATACAATTGAACAAAGCTGAATAAAATAGAAAGGATATTTTCTCCAAACCGATTTGTGGGAGTGCGCACATGCGGCTATTCTGTGTTGAGCGGTTAACAAAGAAATATGTACTCCTATATGCTTAATTTAGAGTTATTAATGTAACTTTAGTTGTTCTACAAACATTGGGCTATATGTTTAGATTTGTAATACATTGTAAGGCTGCATGATGCAAGTCTAATGATGATTTGAAAAAAGTTGCTTGAAAGGCATGAGTTCTGCTTTGTTTTTTTGCGCAGGCTGTACACACTTAATCAATCTCTCATTCACAATTTGACAAGCACTTGCTAATGCCTCGAATTTCCCGGCGGCATACCTTTTGTGTGGCCGTAATGCCCCCTAAAAAAATGTATGCCTTTTGCGGCCAGTGGCCGTTGTGCCCTTGGCCCGGAGTGCTGCCTGCTCCGAAGCACCTCTTACTCACATGACTCTCCATCACGTGATCGGGTCTTTCTCACAGGCTACAAGTGAAGACAGACATATCGGGGATGCAACTGCGCGCGTCCTTATCTAATTCCGAGGTGCATATTGAAGATATTGGAAGAACTGTCCACATTTACTTTTCGTCAGCCAACAAGATGAGTAGGCCTAACGAACAGCAAAAGCACTAGCCTTTGTCAATCTAATATCCCCCATAGTACAAAAGTTAACCTATTCTATTCTGTGTGAGAAATTAATATTCCGAACATAGTCTTGGAGAGTTGTGGGATGCGATAGATCCCAAATTAATACAACCACTAGCATAAAAAAATAACTTTTTACGCAACGTGGCTGATCAGAACATTTATCTTAAAATGTTGATAAACTATTAGGCTATTTCTTCACATTATAAGCGCAGCAATGCGCACACAGCAGTAGGCTATAAGCGCAAATGTTCCATTAGCGGGAAAACACCATTATCAAAAGTGACCGCAAATATGATTATGCATGTAATGCTTTTATTATAAAGGTGCATTTTTATGGTGAAGATTATTTTCCCCCAACTTGAAACCCACGCGCTGCTTATGTATGCCAGTTAGGCTCTACACCCATTGTAAAGCAGATTAATGTGCTTAATTTTTATACGTTATTTGGCATCTTTAGTTGTGATACAAACCTTATCAAAACATATAGGCCTATGGGCTAGGCTACATGAGGTGTGCGACTATGATATGAAAAAGTAAAAAAAATATAGGTGCATTTTTTGGTGATTTAGAATGGACCATTATCATGCACCTGTCTTGAAACAGGTGCAGGGGAAAAATACATATAATCTATGCACTTAAATAGCGAATGGAGGACGCTTTTCCCGTGGTTCATTTTCATGCCAGCCAGGTAGGCTACACTCCTGTTGTAAAGATAAGTAATGTGCTTAATATTAGGAAAGTTGAGAAATAAATATAGTAGGCCTAGCCTACAGAAAGCTGATGGGATACTCCTCTTTTTAATAGAGGCCATCACTCTTTTTTCTATTAGCCTATAGAAATGTTGCACAACATGAGCTCATGGGCTCTCATGAAGTGTTTGATTAGATAAAATGTGCATTGATGTCAGAGTGATTAAAGGGACAATAGAGTACTGAGTACCAGGCAGTTAGCAAGTTTGGTAGGCTACTAATGACCATCAGCAGCATCAGAGCTTGGAGAAGCCTTCATGACTCGTGACCGCCGTTGTGGCGGAAATACGGTCACCGCAACAGCCCTAGTGCCCTGCACCAACTGCTGTTTTTAGCTCTTGCTTTTTAGGTTATGGATGTGATTCAGATCTAGATTCTTAGCTGGCGACTCCAGAACAGTCCAGCATTTATTCTTGAACCATTCCTGGGTGCTTTTGATGTATGTTTGTGGTTGTTGTCCTGCTGGAAAACCCACAACCTTCAACAGACACACCGTTTTTGGACACTGGGTTGAACAAAGCACTTCAAAACACCTTGATAATCTGCTGATTTCATGATGCCTTGCACACGTTCAAGACCCCCAGTACCAGAGCATTATCAAACCACCCCCATGGTTGATTGTAGGAAGGGTGTTATTTGGTCATTGGTAAACATAGGAAGACCCCAATGCTGAAGGTGACACAAGAAAGCCAGATAAAAACTCTCAAAAACCCACCTAAGCAAGCCTACATCCTGGTGGAAATATTCTGTGGGCCAACGGAACAAAATTACAGCTATTTGGCAATACAGATCGATGACCAAATTAACAAAGTTTTTTTTCAATTGCAACTTATTTGAGAAGAAATAGGGAATTATTTAACAAAGGTGCAAGGGTGCCAATATACTTGGCTGCAACTGTATGTTGCCCCAAGAGGTGTGTAGACTTTCACTAGCGACTGTAAATCTGTGTGTGTTTACAATAGCCTACTTCTCTTACCCAACTACGGACGAAAATCTGCTCTTTTGCTATGTCAGACACATTACCATGGATTGAAACACTGAAATGTTAATTATTGTGCACTTATCCATGTCAAATAAATTCCATAATATAAAGAGGTAACACTTTATAATAACGTCCAGTAATAAATCATTTATAAGGCATTTAAAAATATATAAGGCATTTATTCATCATTAGTCCTACATTTGAAAATGTGAGCTAGTACACTATAAATATATATAATATTTACAAAATTTTAAAGGAAATCTAATTTAGGAATAATGATTCACAAACGGTGAGCAAACTACTCATTAATACCTAAAATAAAATAATCTCAATAGAAACATAACTCCTACCCTGGTCTGTGTCTTCCAACGGGCCCAAAGGGGTCAAAGCGGGCTCCAGGTGGCACAGCTCCCGGGGGCAGGACGCCAGGGAGCCCACCAGAGGGGTCGAACCCTGAGCGGGGGTAACCAGCTCTCAAAGGGTCCACGATCATTCCTCCTCCTCCACGACCACTGGAGGACACACACAGAAACAGAGCTGGCATTGGTCTTTGGAATTTTTGTATTATTTTACCCCATTTTCTCACCAATTTCGTGATATCCAGTTGACATTGTCTCATCGCTGCAACTCCCCAATGGGCTCGGGAGAGGCGAAGGTCGAGACATGCATCCTCTGAAACATGACCCGCCAAGCCGCGCTGCTTCTAACACACTGCTCGCTTAACCAGGAAGTCAGCCGTACCAATGTGTCGGAGGAAACGCCATCCAACTGACGACCCAAGTCAGCTTGCAGGTACCCGACCCGACATAAGGAGTCGCTAGAGCGCGATGAGCCAAGGAAAGCCCCGCTGGCCAAACCCTCCCCTAACCCAGACTGTGCTGAGCCAATTGTGCAACGCCGGTCGAACCCCAGGCTGTAGTGGCGCCTCAGCACTGTGATGCAATGCCTTAGATAATAACATTGAATCTGTCAACAATAAATTGTGACTAGTCCTTTAAATGAACACCATGTATTTAGGACAGTCACAGTGGTTGGCTTAATGTCTTTAGTGGCTAGTGCTTCAAATTATATTGGCTTTAAATTCAAATAAAATAATACTATCTTGTGGTTTGCAGTCAAGAAGAGCTCATTCAATTTCTATTGCTTTTTGTAACGCCATCCAAGTCGTTTTTTTGTAACGCCATCCAAGTCCAAGATGGCGAAGTAGTGCCTATTGTTGTTTCGGTTATTTCTAATTGTACTATTTCACTGTAGATCCCCCAGCCCAGCTAAACCTGCCTTAGATAGCTCCTTTGTCCCACCCCCCATACACGCAGAGACCGACTCAATTGATGCCTCTAGTGATACTCTCTCTTTCATTGTTACCCAACACTTAGGTTTACCCCCACTTTACTCATATCCTTCCATATCCTTGTCTGTACATAATGCCCTGAATCTTTTCTACAACACCCGGAAATCTGCCCCCTTTATTCTATGTACCCAACGCACTAGAAGACCAGTTCTTAAAGCCTTTAGCCGTATCCTTATTCTAGTCCTCCTCTGTTCCTCTGGTGATGTAGAGGCTAACCCAGGCCCTGCAGCCCTCAGTATCACTCCTACTCCCCAGGCGCTATCATTTGCTGACTTCTGTAATCGCAAAAGTCTTGGTTTCTTGCACGTAAACATCAGAAGTCTACTTCCTAAGTTTGAGTTATTCACTGCGTTAGCACACTCCGCCAACCCTGATGTTCTAGCAGTGTCTGAATCCTGGCTCAGGAAGGCCACCAAAAATTCTGAAATTTCCATCCCCAACTATAACATTTTCCGTCTAGATAGAACTGCCAAAGGGGGTAGAGTTGCAATCTACTGTAGAGATAGCCTGCAGAGCTCTATCATACTATCCAGGTCTGTGCCCAAACAGTTTGAGCTTCTACTTCTAAAATCCACCTTTCCAGAAATAAGTCTCTCACTGTTGCCGCTTGCTACAGACCCCCCTCAGCCCCCAGATGTGCCCTGGACACCATATGTGAATTGATTGCCCCCCATTTATCCTCAGAGTTCGTACTGCTTGGTGACCTAAATTGGGATATGCTTAATACCCCGGCCATCCTACAATCCAAACTAGATGCCCTCAACCTCACGCAAATTATCAACGAACCTACCAGGTACAACCCTAAATCCGTAAACATGGGTACCCTCATAGATATCATCCTGACTAACATACCCTCTAAATACACCTCAGCTGTCTTCAACCAGGATCTCAGCGATCACTGCCTTATTGACTGCGTCCGTAACGGGTCCGCGGTCAAACGACCACCCCTCATCACTGTCAAACGCTCCCTAAAACACTTTAGCGAGCAGGCCTTCCTAATTGACCTGGCCCAGGTATCCTGGATGGATATAGATCTCATTCCGTCAGTAGAGGATGCCTGGTTGTTCCTTAAAAGTAATTTCCTCTCAATCTTAAATAAACATGCCCCATTCAAAAAATACAGAACTAAGAACCGATATAGCCCCTGGTTCTCCTCAGACTTGACTGCCCTTGACCAGCAGAAAAACATCCTGTGGCGTACTGCATTAGCATCAAATAGCCCCTGCGATATGCAACTTTTCAGGGAAGTTAGGAACCAATATACACAAGCAGTCAGGAAAGCAAAGGCAAACTTTTTCAAACAGAAATTTGCATCCTGTAGCACTAACTCCAAAAAGTTTTGGGACACTGTAAAGTCCATGGAGAATAAGAGCACTTCCTCCCAGTTGCCCACTGCACTGAGGCTAGGAAACACTATCACCACCGATAAATCTACAATAATCGAGAATTTCAACAAGCATTTTGCTACAGCTGGCCATGCTTTCCATCTGGCTACCACTACCCCGGCCACCAACTCTGCACCCTCCGCTGAAACTTGCCCATGCCCCCCCCGCTTCTCCTTCACACAAATTCAGACAGCTGACGTTTTGAAAGAGCTGCAAAATCTGGACTCCTACAAATCAGCTGGGCTAGACAATCTGGACCCTTTCTTTCTAAAACTAGCCGCCGAAATTGTCGCAACCCCTATTACTAGTCTGTTCAACCTCTCTTTCATAACGTCTGAGATCCCCAGAGATTGGAAAGCTGCCGCGGTCATCCCCCTCTTCAAAGGGGGTGACACTCTAGATCCAAACTGCTATAGACCTATATCCATCCTGCCCTGCCTTTCGAAAGTATTTGAAAGCCAAGTTAACAAACAGATCACCGACCATTTCGAATACCACCGTACCTTCTCCGCTATGCAATCCGGTTTCCGAGCTGGTCATGGGTGCACTTCAGCCACGCTCAAGGTCCTAAACGATATTATAACCGCGATTGATAATAGACAGTACTGTGCAGCCGTCTTCATCGACCTGGCCAAGGCTTTCGACTCTGTCAACCACCGCATTCTTATTGGCAGACTAAATAGCCTTGGTTTCTCAAATGACTGCCTCGCCTGGTTCACCAACTACTTCTCAGATAGAGTTCAGTGTGTACGCTCTTGTTGGCTGGTCCTCACTACATGTTCGTCGTCAAACCCACTGGCTCCAGGCCATCTATAAATCACTGCTAGGCAAATCCCCGCCTTATCTTAGCTCATTGGTCACCATAGCAGCACCCACCCGTAGTCTGCGCTCCAGCAGGTATATCTCACTGGTCATTCCCAAAGCCAACACCTCCTTTGGCCGCCATTCCTTCCAGTTCTCTGCTGCCAATGACTGGAACGAATTGCAAAAATCTCTGAAGCTGGAGACTCTTATCTCCCTCACTAACTTTAAGCATCAGTTGTCAGAGCACCTTACCGATCATTGCACCTGTACACAGCCCATCTGAAATTAGCCCACCCAACTACCTATATTGTTATTTATTTTGCACCCCAGTATCTCTATTTGCACATAATCTCTTGCACATCTAGCATTCCAGTGTTAATACTATTGTAATTATTTTGCACTATAGCCTATTTATTGCCTTACCTCCATAACTTGCTACATTTGCACACACTGTATATATATTTTCTGTTGTATTTTTGACTTTATGTTTTTTACCCCATATGTAACTCTGTGTTGTTTTTATCGCACTGCTTTGCTTTATCTTGGCCAGGTCGCAGTTGTAAATGAGAACTTGTTCTCAACTGGCTTACCTGGTTAAATAAAGGTGAAATAAAATAAAATAAAAATATATATATATATATTAATTTTTTTAACTTACAGTACACAAACATTTAGGCACAAAAGCCCTGTTCAACGAACAGCCATTGTGATGAATGTTGACTGGTCCAAGGTCTGCCACATTGTCTGTTGTTCTATCCTTGCTGAATGCAGTAGGGAAACTCACCCAAAGGGATCCAGATCGGCTCCTCCTGCAGCGAATGGAGCCATGGGGTCTGGCCTGATAAACACACAATACACATGCACACAATCAGACAGGCTGGGGGCAGATTAGAGACCGCACATAGTTTAGTTTTGCAAGGTATTGTCAGATGTCAACTAAGTCTCACAGTTGATCCAATGGTTGATTGGTTGTTGTTGTTGGATGTACAATCAATTCACGTCTTTTGACAACTCAATATTTACATTTACATTTTAGTCATTTAGCAGACGCTCTTATCCAGAGCGACTTACAGTTAGTGAGTGCATACATTTTCATACTGGCCCCCCCGTGGGAAACGAACCCACAACCCTGGCGTTGCAAGCGCCATGCTCTACCAACTGAGCTACAGGGGACCAATCAAATGTACATTCAACGTTGTGTGACGTTGTTCGCCCGCAGGGGTCTTTATTGATTTTTTTTTTGTGTGAAAAGTATGCAGGTGAGTGAATACAGTATCAACACTGTATATATAAACTCATCATAAAATTATTTCAGAAGACTACAGCTCTGAACTGAAATACACAGAGTATACCAAAAATTAAGAACACATGCTCTTTCCATGACAGCTTTTTCACGCTCAACAGTTTCCCGTGTGTATCAACAATGGGTGGGGGTGCAACTCAGGTGTTCCTAATGTTTGGCATACTCAGTGTACGTATTCATGCTGTACTATTACCCTAATATTACCCTATGCATAGAATTAGGTATTAGAATAGCTTCTAGTAATTTATACTGAACAAAAATATAAACACAACATGTAAAGTGTTGGTCCCATGTTTCATGAGCTGAAATAAAAGATCCCAGAAATCTTCCATACCCACAAAAAGCTTATTTATCTCAAATTTTGAGCACAAATTTGTTTACATCCCTGTTAGTGAGCATTTTTCCTTTGCCAAGATAATCCATCCACCTGACAGGTATGGCATATCAAGAAGCTGATTAAACAGCATGATCATTACACAGGTGCACCTTGTGCAGGGGACACTAAAAGGCCAATCTAAAATGTGCAGTTTTGTCACACAACACAATGCCACAGATGTCTCAAGTTTTGAGGGGGCGTGCAATTGTCATGCTGACTGCAGGAATGTCCACCAGAGCTGTTGCCAGAGAATTTAATGTTCATTTCTCTACATAAGTCGCCTCCAACGTAGTTTTAGAGAACAACCGCAGACCACGTGTAACCACGCCACCCCAGGATCTCCACATCCGGCTTCTTCACCTGCAGGATCGTCTGAGGCGGGGGTGCTGAGGAGTATTTCTGTCTAATAAAGCCCTTTTGTGGGGAAAAAACTAATTGGCTGCGCCTAGCTCCCCAGTGGGTGGGCCTATGCCCTCCCAGGCCTATCCATGGCTGCGACCCTGCCCAGTCATGTGAAATCCACAGATTAGGGCCTAAATAATTAATTTCTATTGACTGATTTCCTTATATGAGCTGTAACTCAGTACATTTTTTGAAATTGTTGCATGTTGCGTTTATTTTTTGTTTAGTGTAATATGATCTCTATGACCCTTTGCTTGTATATTGTGGTAAGGCCCACAGCAGGACAGTGACTATCCTTTTTGGTGAGGCAGTTCAGTCTCTCAGTATGTCAGAGCATTTTGTGAAAAACGTGACCCCTTTTGCCCTTTCCTAACCATTGTATTCTTCACACAGACAGAATGTAAATCTGCTGTATCATTCTGCTCCCTCTCCCTCGTGGACAAGGGCATGACAACACCAAGGTCGATAAATCGCTGACATCACAAAACAAATCCGATAGGGTCACAGGAAGCAAAGCGAGGAGAGAGAGAGAAAAGGAGAAAAGAAGGAGGTGGACGCCAAGTGACAGGCTCCATCTTTGGACCGGTGCCATTTCCTAAGGATGACTCTTCTTTCTCTCTTGCACCGCGCACTATGCCCTGCCCCCATGTCTGCAGTGCGGGATACTGAGAATACTCCAAATACCCCGTCTATGCTTGGTCTCTGGCTCCATTTCCCTTTCACTCTCTCTCCGGTGTGAAGCCGAGGCAAAAACCCCATGCTGTAAATGTTGGCTAAGATGGATATGAGCTGAGATGATGCCCTTCAATACAATATTTTAATTTTTTTTATTTAACCTTTATTTTGACAGGGCGTCATGCTGAGACCCAAGGTCTCTTTTACAGATGAGCCTTGAATCAAACATACACATCAATATATATATATATATATATATATATATATATATATATATATATATTAATAATAATAATAATAATATACATGAATACACAAAAAGCAAAACACAATCATATCAAACAAACACATTCTTAAGTAAAAAATTCCTCAATAAGCCATCTGAATTGCCCTAGAGGCATCAAGCCTTCCCATTTTAGATTGCTTTGAAGATTATTCCACAAGGTGCCATAAAACTCAAATCTGATTTACCTAATTCAGTGGAGATCGAAGGGATCTCCAGAGTTAGCCATCCCTGAGACCGGGTCTGTTAACTCGTGCGTCTGTAGTGTTAACAATGAAGCAAGGTAGAGCAGAAGTTTATGCAAGAGGGCTTTATAAACAAAAAGAGTGCAATGTATTGATCTAGGAGACTTCAAAGAGGGCCAGCCTACTTTCTGATACAGAAAGCAATGATGTGTACTGAACCTGTCGCCCGTAATAAAGCGTAGTGTTATATGATAAACGGGCAGGTAGCGGCAGGTAGCTTAGTGGGTAAGAGCGTTGTGCCAGTAACCGAAAGGTTGCTGGTTCTAATCCCCGAGCCGACTAGGTGAAAAATCTGTCGATGTGCCCTTGAGCAAGGCACTTAACCCTAATTGCTCCTGTAAGTCGCTCTGGATAAGAGCGTCTGCTAAATGACTAAAATGTAAAATGTAAATGTAAATAAACTGCGTCCAAAGGCTTCAATACAGTGGCAGCTGCATTCATATAAACAATATCACTATAATTTATAACCAGTATGAATGTCTAGTGAATTATTTTCTTTCTGCTATTTAATGAAAGGCATGCCGTATTCTTATAAAGGAAGCCCATTTCAATTCTTAACTAATTCATCAACATGCTTTCTGAAAGACAGCTTCTCGGCAATCCAGATACCCAGACATTTATAATTGGGGACACAACCAATGTGGGCACCATCCAATGTACAAATGCATAAATCATCAGATACATTTTGAAAGCTTTTTTAACATATACTTAGTTTTACCTGCATTAAGTACCAATTTTAGTTCAACAAGGGCTTTCTGCAAAGCAAAACAAATTCAGATTGTAGCGCCGAGAGAGCCTTGTCAACAGAAGGGGCAACACAATACAAAACAGTATCATCTGCATACAAGTGGAGGTTACAATTTCCTACGATCAAACCAATGTTGTTTATGTAGACAGTAAAAACTACAGGGCCCAAAATCAACCCCTGTGGGACAACCTTAGTAATATCAAGGAAGTCTGACTTAACACCATCAGAAGAAACACTGTCTCCTGTCTGTCAGGTAGTTTTCCAACCAGATGAAGGCTGCCTGACCCAGGCCAATTTCAGACAGTCTACTAATTAATATTGAATGGTCAACAGTGTTGAAAGCCTTCAACAGGTCTAAAAAAAAAGGGCAGCACAATGCCACCTTTTGTCCATGCAATTTAAAATGTATTTTATCACCAAAGCAGCAGATATAGTGCTATGACCTGGCCTGAAACCAGACTGATGGACACTTAGAATACATTTTGAAGCTAGAAAAAATCTAAGCTGAGTATTGCTTCAAGATTCAAAAAAGTTTGCTAGGCTAGACAGTTTAGCGATAGGGTGATAATTATTCATGTCAGAGTGGTCACCACCTTTGTAGAGAGGAAGAACATGGGCAGCCTTCCAGACCCTAGGGATAGCACCCGAGATAATTGTCAGGTAAAATATAGTCTCACCAGTCTCAACATCAACAGTGAAGAGGCGAATCCGGGATGCTGACCTAGGCAGGGTTGCAAAGAAAAAGTCCAGTGTCTGTGTTCTTTTGCTGCCCATCTTAATCTTTTATTTTTATTGGCCAGTCTGAGATATGGCTTTTTCTTTGCAACTCTGCCTAGGTCAGTATCCCGGAGTCGCCTCTTCACTGTTGACGTTGAGACTGGTGTTTTGCGGGTACTATTTAATGAAGCTGCCAGTTGAGGACCTGTGAGGCGTCCGTTTCTCAAACTAGACACTAATGTATTTGTCCTCTTGCTCAGTTGTGCACCGGGGCCTCCCACTCCGCTTTCTATTCTGGTTAGAGACAGTTTGCGCTGTTCTGTGAAGGGAGTAGTACACAGCGTTGTACGAGATCTTCAGTTTCTTGGCAATTTCTTGCATGGAATAGCCTTCATTTCTCAGAACAAGAATAAACTGACGAGTTTCAGAAGAAAGTTATTTGTTTCTGGCCATTTTGATCCTGTAATCGAACCCACAATTGCTGATGCTCCAGATACTCAACTAGCCTCAAGAAGGCCAGTTTTATTGCTTCTTTAATCAGCACAACAGTTTTCAGCTGTGCTAACATAATTGCAAAAGGGTTTTCTAATGATCAATTAGCCTTTTAAAATGTTAAACTTGGATTAGCAAACACAATGTGCCATTGGAACACAGGACTGATGGTTGCTGATAATGGGCCTCTGTACGCCTATGTAGATATACCATTAAAAATCAGCAGTTTCCAGCTACAATAGCCATTTACAACATTAACAATGTCTACACTGTATTTCTGATAAAATTGCTTTTCTTTCGAAAACAAGGACATTTCTAAGTGACCCCAAACTTTTGAACGGTAGTGTATGTATGTATGTATGTATGTATGTATGTATGTATGTATGTATGTTTGTATATACAGTACCAGTCAAAAGTTTGGACACACCTATTCATTCAAGGGTTTTTCTTTATTTTTACTATTTTCTACATTGTAGAATAATAGTGAAGACATCAAAACTATGAAATAACACATGTGGAATCATGTAGTAACCAAAAAAGTGTTAAACAAATCAAAATATATTTTATATTTGAGATTCTTCAAAGTAGCCACCCTTTGCCTTGATGACAGCTTTGCACACTCTTGGTATTTTTTAAATATATTTAATAATTTATTTAACTAGGTAAATCAGTTAAGAACAAACTCTTATTTACAATGACGGCCTACACCGGCCAAACCCGGACGACGCTGGGCCAATTGTGCGCCGCCCTATGGGACTCCCAATCATGGACGGTTGTGATACAGCCTGGAAACGAACAAGGGGGTCTGTAGTGACGCCTCAAGCACTGAAATGCAGTGCCTTAGACCGCTGCACCATTATTATGGATTTATTTTCCCTGGTTGACACAGACATGCTCAGGAAAGTGATATCACAACTTAAGCCTTCTACCTGCCTTCTCGATCCTATCCCCACCACCTTCTTCAAAACAGTTTTTAATTGTATATCTGAAGAAGTGCAAGCTATTGTTAATCACTCCCTGTTCACAGGCACTTTCCCCACTGCACTAAAAACTGCTATGGTGAAACCCCTTCTGAAGAAAAGTAATCTAGATTCTTCAGCTCTTAGCAATTTTCGGCCAATCTCCAACCTTCCATTCTTAAGCAAAATTCTGGAGAAATTGGTTTTCAAACAGCTAAATGATTTTTGCCAACTGTATTTTTGAAAAAATCCAATATGGTTTTCAGGTCCACCACAGCACAGGTTCAAGTGGTAAATTATCTTAGTGCCAACACAGATGCCAAACAGCTCTCTGTCCTTGTACTCTTGGATTTAAGTGCTGCATTCGACACTGTTGACCATGATGTCCTCCTGGACAGATTGGAGAGGTGGGTTGGCCTCTACTTCCCAGTCCTAAATTGGTAGGACCTATTTAACCAGTTGAGAGTTTTTTGTCACCCTTGGTGAACATAACTCTGAGAAAATACAAATCACGTGGCGTTCCACAAGGTTCGATTTTGGGTCCGGTACTGTTCAGTTTATATACAGTGCTTTCGGAAAGTATTCAGACCCCTTGACTTATTCCACATTATGTTACGTTACAGCCTTATTCTAAAATTGATTAAATAAATAACAATTCTCAGCAATCTACACACAATACCCCATAATGACAAAGTGAAAACAGGTTTTTAGAAAATGTAGCACATTTATTTAAAAAACAACAATACAAATACCTTATTTAAATAAGTATTCCGACCCTTTGCTATGAGACTCAATTCAGCTCAGGTGCATCCTGTTTCCATTGATCATCCTTGAGATGTTTCTACAACTTGATTGGAGTCCACCTGTGGTAAATTAAATTGATTGGACATGATTTGGAAAGGCACACACCTGTCTATATAAGGTCCCACAGGTGACAGTGCATGTCAGAACAAAAACCAAGCCATGAGGTCGAATGAATTATCTGTATAGCTCCGAGACAGGATTGTGTCGAGGCACAGATCTGGGGAAGGGTACCAAAAAATGTCTGCAGCATTTTAAGGTCCCCAAGAACACAGTGGCCTCCATCATTCTTAAATGGAAGAAGTTTGGAACCACCAAGACTCTTCCTAGAGACGGAATCCACTCCTCAGTAAAAGGCACATGACAGCCCACTTGGAGTTTGCCAAACGGCACCTAAAGACTCTCAGACCATGAGAAACAAGATTCTCTGGTCTGATGAAACCAAGATTTAACTCTTTGGCCTGAATGCCAAGCGTCATGTCTGGAGGAAACCTGGCACCATCCCTATGGTGAAGCATGGTGGTGGCAGCATCATGCTGTGGGGATGTTTTTCAGCAGCAGGGACTGGGAGACTAGTCAGGATCGAGGCAAAGATGAACGGAGCAAAGTACAGAGAGAGATCCTTGATGAAAACCTGCTCCAGAGCACTCAGGACCTCAGACTGGGTCGATGGGTCACCTTCCAACAGGAAAACGACCCTAAGCACACAGGCAAGAGAGCGCAAGAGTGGCTTCGGGACTCTCTGAATGTCCTTGAGTGGCCCAGTCAGGGCCCGGACTTCCACCCGATCGAACATTTGAAAATAGCTGTGCAGCAACGCTCCCCATCCAACCTGACAGAGCTTGAGAGGATCTGCAGAGAAGAATGGGAGAAACTCCCCAAATACAGGTGTGCCAAACTTGTAGCGTCATACCCAAGAAGACGCGATGATGTAATCGCTGCCAAAGGTGCTTCAACAAAGTACTGAGTAAAGAGTCTGAATACTTAGGTAAATGTAACATTTCAATAAATCTGTTTTTGCTTTGTCATTATGGAGTATTTTGTATAGATTGAAAATGTAATCAATTTTAGAATAAGTCTGTAACGTAACAAAATGTGGTAAAAGTCAAGGGGTCTCAATACTTTCTGAAGGCACTGTAGTCTAATCATTGCTTATGTTGAAGAGATAGACAGTAATTGTGTCACCTTACATTGTAATAGACCGTAATTGTGTCATCTTACATTGCAGAATAGACAGAATAAAAATGTATTTAGAATCAGGTCTACTCGCTTTTTTTCCTAATCATAATCTCTGATGTGTAGTCTAGTCATGGTTTATTTGCATGACAACATTTTATGCTTTTAACAACTCAATAGCTTTGCGTGAAATACATGGCCCAAGGAATCACCTGGCGTATGCCTATTTGGTTGTATGAAGTCTGGTCTATTGTGTATTCGTAACCCCCACCTCCCCCTGCCGATAGTGGCCATGAGTATCCTAACAATATAATTTGTTTTAGCACAATGCATTTTTTATTACAGATTGTAAATGTCGCAAGTTTTTTCTCAGACATGTTTGTAGATTGCTGTTTACTTCGTATAACTAATCTGTAACGCTAGGCTACTGTCTTCACTTCAAAAATAAGTTGCATCTGTGATTGTGAACAAGGGCCTTACGTGCAGTTTTTACAAAAAGGGATTCCCCCACGAGAGCCTATTTCCGCTGTTGTTGCGGTCGGTCACATAAAATAATGATATAAAATAATCGCAATCATTTTAGGTGGAAAAGTACACATTTCCTTACTCAAAACCGATAGTACTTTTGATAAAAATGGCTAATTTCGGCCGTACGCTTTCAATAAAACAAAGAATTTGTCCACAATTTGTGTATTTTTCAATCGCTCTGAATGGCAAACGGAGCAGAGCTAGCATTGCACAAAGCAGTGCACCCATTTTGCAGCTTTCCAGTTTAGACTGCAGGGAGAGCGAGGTTGGCGAAGGTAAACTCCACCCAACTAGTTTCAATGTACAATATGGAATCACTTAAGACATTTGGATTTTAGGTAATCCATTTTAGTTTCACGACTTTCCATATGCCCGATTTCGATGTGAAGACGCTAGGGTTGCAACATTCCGGTAGCTTTTCCAATATTGCCAGGTTTTACAGAAATCCCAGTTGGAAGATTCCCAAAGTCCGGAGGTAATGAGCAGGAAATCATAAATCATCCAACCAGGATTTCTGGAAAACCTGAGAATTGGGGGAAAGTTACAATAATTGTACAACCCTAGAAGATGTAAATCTCTAACTTCAGAATCACACCTTCTTTTTGAATGAAAAATAAGATGGAAATGGTCACAGGCCACACAATTACAACATGTTCTATATTTCACTGTACGGCTCAGTGGTCCCTAAAGCCTCCCCTATCTTCAGATCAATCAGAGAAAATGCATTGTTATATCAGAATCGGGGAATAACAATCTTATTAAACATTAATTGTATGCTTCCCCATTGAAGCATGCTACAAGTGGTACATTTCTCAATTCTAACAAAACAAGGAAACTATACCATTCAACCAAAATAACCAGTATTATAATATCGCCACCCGCCATATACAAAATGGTCCTGCAACACACACCATGGTCAGGTAACATTTACATTTACGTCATTTAGCAGACGCTCTCATCCAGAGCGACTTACAGGAGCAATTAGGGTTAAGTGCCTTGCTTAAGGGCACATCGACAGATTTTTCACCTAGTCGGCTCGGGGATTAGAACCAGCGACCTTTCGGTTACTGGCACAACGCTCTTACCCACTAAGCTACCAAGTGTATGTACAATGGGCATACGTTAGGCTAGATGTGAAAAAGAACAGTTTATGGATGTAGTAGTCATGGATACATCAACAGTAGTGCAACTATTTGTGCTATGCTGTGACGTGCTCCCTCTCACTTTGCTACTAAGTCCTTGTCCACTCACATCTTAAGGGAGGTACGACCCAAAAGGGTCATGTCAAGAGCAGGAACATTCTCCCCATGGTTCGCCCTGGCAACAGACCAATAACCATTGTTTTATACCAAGGTATTTATGCAGACCAACACAATTCTTCCTAAATAATGAACAAAAGTTGCCGTTTTCAAGCTGTCGTTTATATTCAGTCCATCAAGTTGTAGTGAATCAAAACAGATAATGCATTCTCTGTCTAGTTGACAGACTACTGCATTAAGCTCTAACCTACACTATCATGTTACAAAATGGTATTTATGAATGTTACTAGGCTAATACGTGAGTGCCTATGGCTGATATAGTACGGCAGGGGTATTTAATTAATGTTTTCCTTTACTAAGACAACCTCGGTGGACCACATCAAATCAAGCGCAAATTGGGCCGTGGGCCGCCAGTTGAAGAACCCTGTAGTAAGGTATGTTGTACAAACCAGTTAGGCTGCCTGCTGGTCTGCGGATGCCTTGTGGGAATATGGAGAGGGTCACTGTCTGACTGGGAGTCATCCGTTGTCTCTCTCTTACTCTTCTTGTGTTTCTTTCTTGGTGCGGGCGCTGAGGGAAGGAGTTGGCTCTTCACCTTCTGAGCCAAATCTTCTGTATTCTTAAATACACTGACAGAGGGGAAGAACATGTCAATACAAACAAGTTTGACTTATAGGGATTATATTGGGGTCATTCTGCACAGAACTGGAACAAAGAAAGACCATTACTTTTTGGATCTTTCTGAAATGGAATACATGAAAAGGTATTTTGGATGTTTGGTGCATATTTGACATTTGTATCTAAAAGGATTGTTGAGAAATAATTACTTAAAGTTGGGCCTCATAAGACTCTCTAGGCTCATTTTGTCTGTAGGTGCAACAAAGCATGAACTGGTGTAATATGAAGCCTTACCGCATGCTCTGTATTATGAGTAGTATTCAATAAGTCAAAGGTCTTTTTTGCCTTACAGAATGACCCATCACACACAGACACACACCAGATTCAACGAATGTGGCATTTGTGGTCCAGTGGATTTCCTTATACAAACAACACTTATAAATCTGTTTGTTGATAACAACTATCACTACAGTAAGTAGTGATGCAATTAAGCAAGACTTCCCGTGTTTTTTAAAACTTTTTTACAATGGTGCCCTGAGGATAAGAATACAACAAATTCAAAATGATCAATAAAAATTAAATAAACTACAAATGACAGAATTAACACAACAGCTTCAAACACCACAAATACAATTATTTACATTCAATCTAAACAGTTGAAATTCTCATAAAATTCATTCAACATTAAAGTCCTAAACTGCCCTCGAGGCACCAAAGAGTCAAGATGTACAGAGTTTTATAGGCTATTCCAAAAATGGGGGGCACTACAACTGAAGGTGGATTTACCTAGATCAGTGCGGACTAGTGGAACCGAGAGTTAACCATCCCTGTGAACGGGTTTGGTGTCTCATAATTTTTTATTTTAAAAGTGAAGCGAGGTAGGTCGGAAGCTTGTGTAGTAGAACTTTGTAAACAAAAAGGGAGTAATTAAGTGATCTACGGGACTTTAATGAGGACCAGCCAACCTTGTGATACAGGATGCAGTGATGCGTATTAAAACAGTCACCTATGATAAAGCGAAGGGCACTATGGTAGACAGCATCCAAAGGTTTAAGAGTAGTGGCTGTTGCATTCTGGTAAATGGTGTCACCATAGTCGAGAAAACTGGCAGAAAAGTTGACTGTACAATCTGCTTCCTGCTGTTTAAGGAGAGGCATGATCTATTTCTATAAAAGAAGCCCACTTTAAATCCCAGCTTCTTAACTAGCTCATCTTCATATGTTTTTAAACGCCAAATTATTGTCAATCCAAAAGCCCAGATATTTGCTTGATGAAAGAACCATTCAATGCATAAAATGTGTAAGCCATCTGAAATATTTCTCTGAGAATTAGAAAACAGCATAGATTACATTTTCCCCACATTAAATACCAATTTTAAAATCAACAAGGACTTTCTGTAAGGCGATAAAATCCTATTGCAGCTCCAACATAGCCTGGCCACCCATAGAGGCAATAGCATAGATAACAGTGTCATCTGCATACAGATCAATGCTGCAGGACACCTTTAGTAATATTGAGGTACAGTGGCTTGCGAAAGTATTCACCCCCCTTGGCATTTTTCCTATTTTGTTGCCTTACAACCTGGAATTAAAATTGATTTTTTTGAGGTTTGTATCATTTGATTTACACAACATGCCTACAACTTTGAAGATGCAAAATATTTTTTTATTGTGAAACAAACACGAAATAAGACAAAAAAAAGAACTTGAGCGTGCATAACTATTCACCCCCCCCCAAAGTCAATACTTTGTAGAGCCACCTTTTGCAGCAATTACAGCTGCAAGTCTCTTGGGGTATGTCTCTATAAGCTTGGCACATCTAGCCACTGGGACCTTTTGCCCATTCTTCAAGGCAAAACTGCTCCAGCTCCTTCAAGTTAGATGGGTTCCGCTGGTGTACAGCAATCTTTAAGTCATACCACAGATTCTCAATTGGATTGAGGTCTGGGCTTTGACTAGGCCATTCCAAAACATTTCAATGTTTCCCCTTAAACCACTCGAGTGATACTTTAGCAGTATGCTTAGGTTCATTGTCCTGCTGGAAGGTGAACCTCCGTCCCAGTCTCAAATCTCTGGAAGACTGAAACAGGTTTCCCTCAAGAATTTCCCTGTATTTAGCGTCATCCATCATTCCTTCAATTCTGACCAGTTTCCCAGTCCCTGCCGATGAAAAACATCCCAACAGCATGATGCTGCCACCACCATGCTTCACTGTGGGGATGGTGTTCTCGGGGTGATGAGAGGTGTTGGGATTGCGCCAGACATAGCGTTTTCCTTGATGTCCAAAAAGCTCAATTTTAGTCTCATCTGACCGGAGTACCTTCTTCCATATGTTTGGGGAGTCTCCCACATGCCTTTTGGTGAACACCAAACGTGTTTGCTTGCTTATTTTTTTCTTTAAGCAATGGCTTTTTTCTGGTCACTCTTCCGTAAAGCCCAGCTCTGTGGCGTGTACGGCTTAAAGCTTTGCAGCTCCTTCAGGGTTATCTTTGGTCTCCTTGTTGCCCCTCTGATTAATGCCCACCTTGCCTGGTCCGTGAGTTTTGGTGGACGGCCCTCTCTTGGCAGGTTTGTTGTGGTGCCATATCCTTTCCATTTTTTAATAATGGATTTAATGGTGCACCGTGGGATGTTCAAAGTTTCGGATATTTTTTTATAACCCAACCCTGATCTGTACTTCTCCACAACTGTGTCCCTGACCTGTTTGGAGAGCTCCTTGGTCTTCATGGTGCCACTTGCTTGGTGGTGCCCCTTGCTTAGTGGTGTCACAGACTCTGGGGCCTTTCAGAACAGGTGTATATATATTGAGATCATGTGACAGATCATGTGACACTTAGATTGCACACAGGTGGACTTTATTTAACTAATTATGTGACTTCTGAAGGTAATTGGTTGCACCAGATCTTATTTAGGGGCTTCATAGCAAAGGGGGTGAATACATATGCACGCACCACTTTTCCGTTATTTATTTTTTACACTTTTTTGAAACAAGTAATTGTTTTCATTTCACCACCAATTTTGACTATTTTCTGTATGTCCATTACAATGAAATACAAATTCAAATCCATTTAAATTACAGGTTGTAATGCAACAAAATAGAAAAAACGCCAAGGGGATGAATACTTTTGCAAGGCACTGTAACTTGATGAGTAGGGGTATGGTCGACAGTATCAAAGGCCTTGGATAGGTCTACAGTCGTGGTCAAAAGTTTTGAGAATGACACAAATACTAATTTTCACAAAGTCTGCTGCCTCAGTTTTTATGATGGCAATTTGCATATACTCCAGAATGTCATGAAGAGTGATCAGATGAATTGCAATTAATTGCAAAGTCCCTCTGCCATGAAAATGAACTTAATCCCCCAAAAGACATTTCCACTGCATTTCAGCCATGCCACAAAAGGAACAGCTGCCATCATGTCAGTGATTCTCTCGTTAACACACAGGTGAGAGTGTTGACAAGGACAAGGCTGGAGATCACTCTATCATGCTGATTGAGTTAGAATAACAGACTGGAAGCTTTAAAAGGAGGGTGGTGCTTGAAATCATTGTTCTTTCTCTGTTAACCATGGTTACCTGTAAGGAAACACGTGCCGTCATCATTGCTTTGCACAAAAAGGGCTTCACAGGCAAGGATATTGCTGCTAGTAAGATTGCACCTAAATCAACCATTTATCGGATCATCAAGAACTTCAAGGAGAGAGGTTCAATTGTTGTGAAGAAGGCGTCAGGGCACCCAAGAAAGTCCACCAAGCGCCAGGACCGTCTCCTAAAGTTGATTCAGCTGCGGGATCGGGGCACCACCAGTGCAGAGCTTTCTCAGGAATGGCAGCAGGCAGGTGCGAGTGCATCTGCATGCACAGTGAGGCAAATACTTTTGGAGGATGGCCTGGTGTCAAGAAAGGCAGCAAAGAAGTCACTTCTCTCCAGGAAAAACATCAGGGACAGACTGATATTCTGTAAAAGGTACAGGGATTGGACTGCTGAGGACTGGGGTAGTCATTTTCTCTGATGAATCCCCTTTCCGATTGTTTGGGGCATCCGGAAAACACCTTGTCCGGAGAAGACAAGGTGAGCACTACCATCAGTCCTGTGTCACGCCAACAGTAAAGCATCCTGAGACCATTCATGTGTGGGATTGCTTCTCAGCCAAGGGAGTGGGCTCACTCACAATTTTGCCTAAGAACACAGCCATGAATAAAGAATGGTACCAACACATCCTCAACTTCTCCCAACCATCCAAGAACAGTTTGGTGACGACTAATGCCTTTTCCAGCATGAAGGAGCACCTTGCCATAAGGCAAAGGTGATAACTAAGTGGCTCGGGGAACAAAACATCTACATTTTGGGTCCATGGCCAGGAAACTCCCCAGACCTTAATCCCATTGAGAACTTGTGGTCGATCCTCAAGAGGCGGGTGGACAAATAAAAACCCACAAATTCTGACAAACTCCAAGCATTGATTATGCAAGAATGGGCTGCCATCAGTCAGGATGTGGCCCAGAAGTTAATTGACAGCATGCCAGGGCGGATTGCAGAGGTCTTGAAAAAGAAGGGTTAACACTGCAAATATTGACTCTTTGCATAAACTTAATGTAATTGTCAATAAAAGCCTTTGACACTTATGGAATGCTTGTAATTATACTTCAGTATACCATAGTAACATCTGACAAAAATATCTCATAACACTGAAGCAGCGAACTTTGTGAAGACCAATACTTGTGTCATTCTCAAAACTTTGACCATGACTGCATAAATATGGCAGCATAGTGATTCCTATGATCTAAGCAGTTTAAAACAAGTGTTGCTGCTGAAACAGTGCTATGTCCAGGTCTAAAACACAAAGGTGTTCGATGGGTTGAGGTCAGGGCTCTGTGCAGGCCAGTCAAGTTCCGATCTCGACAAACCATTTCTGTATGGACCTCGCTTTGTGCACGGGGCATTTTTCATGCTGAAACAGGAAAGGGTCTTGCCCAAACTGTTGCCACAAAGTTGGAAGCACAGAATCATCTAGATTCAGTGGTCCCGTTCTGTGAGCTTGTGTGGCCTACCACTTCGCGGCTGAGCCGTTGTTGCGCCTAGACGTTTCTACTTCCCAATAACAGCACTTACAGTTGACCGGGGCAGCTCTAGCAGGGCAGAAATTTGATGAAAAGACTTGTTGGAAAGATTCTGTCATAACCTGCTGGGGCAATGAGGGGGTGGAGTTTTTTTTCAAAGATTTGAGCACTTTCCAGAATTTAGCTGGATTTACACCACTCAGATACACAATTTAAGAAGTACGGTATGTTGACTTCACTTTTCTAACCAGAGTAAGACATTTATTTCTCAAAGGACTGCCAGTCAGAGGTAGAATTAGTCAATCTAGCCTTAGCCCAAGCTAAGTTTATTTCATGAAATCTTTCAGACAATTCATGCGTGAACCATGGGTTAGATCTGTCCTTTACCTTTAATCTGTTATATGGGGAAGGCTTATCTGCAACATAGTTAAACAGAGGTAAAACATTTAAGTGCCTGATCCAAATCAGAGATAGAGTACACAAACTCCCAATTATATAGCCCCAGGTAAATACATTAAAATCAAATATTACACATTGACCAACCTTTCAAATGTTTGTAACTGCTCCGCATCCACATAATCACTGACATTCACGGTCAGGTCTGACACTTGTTCAGTGGTCGAGTCCTGACACAATAGAAAATATTCACACATAGGCGTTACTACATTTCAGAGAAATAACCACTAAATTTGAGTTGAAAAAATCTTTTTGAATAGCTATATAGTTACCATTAAGTTGAAGATCAAGGTGGAATCCACAGTGATGGCTTTGACCAGGAAATGTGACTTGTCATCATTTGACTTGTATCGCAGGGTGTACAATTCCTTACTTCCGTTCCACCCTGTAGGAAGCAACTCCGACTTCTTGTCACCACTCAGAGGCTGAATAAAATGTAAAAATGCATAGTTAAATGTATGTTCAAACAGATATGCATCGTCAAACTTCATGTGGCATAACTTCACACTCTCACGCTAACTCTTTAAAGCCACAATCCTGAGTTTGTGTTTCAGCCCAACGCTAGCCACGCCACTTGGTTTGGTGTAAACTGAGGGATGAGGCTGAAAGAATGTACCCGCACTCAGATTAGCCTTATTAGCATGAATGACAAGGCCACTGTTGCTAAAGTGATGTGAGATAATGACATCAACAATAACAGTAAAAAATGTAATTATAGTCATGGTGATTAGAATTAAAATAAACAAAAAGGTAATAAATAAAAATAGTAATAATGTCATAATCTAAAAGCTTTGGTAAGTAAACAACAAAGATACATATAGGTATAATGATATCATGCAATGTATAACAACATTGAATATGTACAATGCGATACAATGGGATCATCTATGGAATGTAGGTGTGCATGCAGGTGTCATTAGTGGGTGTATGTGCAAGCACACCCACACACCAACTTTTGCACCTGGTTTTGTATGAGTTTTACATCCTGTAAATCACAATACCTAGGCTACATAGTCTCTGATCTCTTGGCAGCCTAGATGTAAGTTGTCTTCCTCTTTCAATTTCCAGACTATGGTCACTCAGTCTGTATTTTAAGAGGGTTTTTCTTCCTTTTACATCTTGGAGGCTTAGATATTCTACAATCAACTTTATTTTATTTAGGGACGGATAACAAATCAGGTTATTTTTTTGTCCAATTTTCAGTGTAGTTGTTTTTCAATTTGGAATCAATTTGTTAGATTTTGGTTTTAGGAATGAAACTGTATTTTGGTTGGTCTTTAATTCCGATGTTGCCAGTGAGCTGCAGAGCAAGCTGACCTAGGGGATCATCCTCTTGGGAGAAATGGTTACTCAGAAGGGCTTTGTATTTAATACATACACAAAAAAATTATGCACACATGACTATAAGTCGCTTTGGATAAAAGCGTCTGCTAAATGGCATTTCTTATTTCTTCTTCTTCTTTCTTAATAGAGCTCTGGTCTGCTTGATTGAAATACTGCCAGAATTGAAATGATATTTTCTGCACTTGAATGTGTAGAGGGAAAAGTCCCAGTTCTGCCCTGCAGGCATTGTTTGGAGTATTTCAGTGGACACCTAAAATACTTTTGATTAATTCTAATCGTAATTACTCAATAGGGCCTTTTTCCCCATTTGCTGGTTAGGAGCGGATATGGGTCCCCATACTTTGTTACCATACAGTAGTATTGGGGTCAGAATGGAATAGAACCTTTTTAACCAAATATTTATTGGGATACTTGCATTGCTGAATTTGGATTTGATAGCAAACAATGCTCTTCTATTTTTATTTGTTACACTCAGTGCCTTTGTAGCCAACCTGAAACTCGCTGATGAGCTTATCTCTAGGCTCAGGTAATTATAGCTGGTACTGTGCTTTAGTTTAGTTCCACTGTAGGTAAACTGGTACCGGTTTCCCTGGGATCTGTCTTTCTTCTGAAATATCATGATTTAATTTTTGTACAAGTTTACTATTAGTGCCCATCTTTGGCAGTACTGCTCTAAAAGGGATTGGCTGTGTTTTACATTTTACATTTTAGTCATTTAGCAGACGCTCTTATCCAGAGCGACTTACAGTTAGTGAATACATATTTTTTTTTATACTGGCCCCCCGTGGGAATCGAACCCACAACCCTGGCGTTGCAAACGCCATGCTCTATCAACTGAGCTACATCCCTGCCGGCCATTCCCTCCCCTACCCTGGACGACGCTGGGCCAATTTTGCGCCGCCCATGAGTCTCCCGGTCGCGGCCGGCTGCGACAGAGCCTGGATTCGAACCAGGATCTCTAGTGGCACAGTTAGCACTGCGATGCAGTGCCTTAGACCACTGCGCCACTCAGGAGTGTACCTATGATGTAATCCTTGTTTTGTGGGTGACAACAAAACTAAGCCGTCAGCATACAAAAGGCACTTAATCTGTGTGTCATTTAGGGTGAGGCCTGGGGCTGCAGATTGCGGCAACATTGTTGCTAATTCATTTATATAAATATTGAGCGATGTTGGTCTGATGCTGCATCCCTGCCTAACACCAAGTCATATACAGTGGGGAGAACAAGTATTTGATACACTGCCGATTTTGCAGGTTTTCCTACTTACAAAGCATGTAGAGGTCTGTAATTTTTATCATAGGTACACTTCAACTGTGAGAGACGGAATCTAAAACAAAAATCCAGAAAATCACATTGTATGATTTTTAAGTAATTAATTTGCATTTTATTGCATGACATAAGTATTTGATTACCTACCAACCAGTAAGAATTCCGGCTTTCACAGACCTGTTAGTTTTTCTTGAAGAAGCCCTCCTGTTCTCCACTCATTACCTGTATTAACTGCACCTGTTTGAACTCGTTACCTGTATAAAAGACACCTGTCCACACACTCAATCAAACAGACTCCAACCTCTCCACAATGCCCATGACCAGAGAGCTGTGTAAGGACATCAGGGATAAAATTGTAGACCTGCACAAGGCTGGGATGGGCTACAGGCCAAAGGGCAAGCAGCTTGGTGAGAATGTTGTTGGCGCAATTATTAGAAAATGGAAGAAGTTCAAGATGACGGTCAATCACCCTCGGTCTTGGGCTCCATGCAAGATCTCACCTCGCGGGGCATCAATGATCATGAGGAAGGTGAGGGATCAGCCCAGAACTACACGGCAGGACCTGGTCAATGACCTGAAGAGAGCTGGGACCACAGTCTCAAATAAAACCATTAGTAATAAACTACGCCGTCATGGATTAAAATCCTGCAGCCCATGCAAGGTCCCCCTGCTCAAGCCAACGCATGTCCAGGCGGTCTGAAGTTTGCCAATGACCATCTGGATGATCCAGAGGAGGAATGGGAGAAGGTCATGTGGTCTGATGAGACAAAAATAGAGCTTTTTGGTCTAAACTCCACTCGCCGTGTTTGGAGGAAGAAGAAGGATGAGTACAACCCAAAGAACACCAACCCAACCGTGAAGCATGGAGGTGGAAACATCATTCTTTGGGGATGCGTTTCTGCAAAGGGGACAGGACGACTGCACCATATTGAGGGGAGGATGGATGGGGCCATGTATCGCGAGATCTTGGCCAAAAACCTCTTTCCCTCAGTAAGAGCATTGAAGATGGGTCGTGGCTGGGTCTTCCAGCATGACAATGACCCGAAACACACAGCCAGGGCAACTAAGGAGTGGCTCCGTAAGAAGCATCTCAAGGTCCTGGAGTGGCCTAGCCAGTCTCCAGACCTGAACCCAATAGAAAATCTTTGGAGGGAGCTGAAAGTCCGTATTGCCCAGCGACAGCCCCAAAACCTGAAGGATCTGGAGAAGGTCTGTATGGAGGAGTGGGCCAAAATCCCTGCTGCAGTGTGTGCAAACCTGGTCAAGACCTACAGGAAATGTATGATCTCTGTAATTGCAAACAAAGGTTTCTGTACCAAATATTAAGTTCTGCTTTTCTGATGTATCAAATACTTATGTCATGCAATAAAATGCAAATTAATTACTTAAAAATCATACAATGTGATTTTCTGTATTTTTGTTTTAGATTCCGTCTCTCACAGTTGAAGTGTACCTATAATAAAAATTACAGACCTCTACATGCTTTGTAAGTAGGAAAACCTGCAAAATCGTCAGTGTATCAAATACTTGTTCTCCCCACTGTATAAGGATTTCAAGATGTCATTCGTTTTTTTCCTGCTGAAGTTATGGTGTGTGCATCACCTGCGTGTGTGCCAGTGCGAGTGGGCCTTTGCCAGAGGAAAGAGAGAGAGCATATTCAAAACATATTTTGTAGTTTGGCTGGTTATCTCGCTAGTTAACTATTAGAATGTATTAATTTCATTGTCATGTCCGATGTCCTAAACAACTTTTCAACGGCATTCGTGTACAACCGCAAATTGGGTGCTGAGAAATTATTCTGACACCGTTGGAAAGCTGGGATTCTCCTCTATTCAATACTGACAACGTACATTTATTTTCTTAGAATAGCCTAATTGACAAGTAACTCCTATGCTGTCAAGATCTCACCTGAAAACAGAATATTTTAGCCTTACAAATAGATAAACATGTCTCAGTTAGCTACCTTGCTTTGAAGTCACCCAGCTAAGCCATTTGATCCCTGGTTCATTGAATGATAATTATTTTACAAAGACATAAAAATGTATTTGGTTGTAATTATAATGTTGCTGGGTCGCCAACCATCCTCCAGGAGTCTCATGGAGAGCTACTGGGTGTGCAGACTTTTGCTCCAGCCCTGTTCTAACACATTGTAAAATATCACCTGCTCAACAGTCCATTGAGAAGTTGACTCGGGTGTGTTTGAGCAGGGTTGGATCAAAAGCCTGCACACCCAGTAGCTCTCCAGATGGAGCGTTGACCACATATGTTTTATACTGTAGCCCATCAGTGCAGTATTTTATTTTATTTTTTTTATTTTTATTTTACCTTTATTTAACCAGGTAAGCCAGTTGAGAACAAGTTCTCATTTACAACTGCGACCTGGCCAGGATAAAGCAAAGCAGTGCGATAAAAACAACAACAACACAGAGTTACACATGGGATAAAACAAAACATACAGTCAATAACACAATAGAAAATCTATATACAGTGTGTGCAAATGTAATAAGTTATGGAGATAAGGCAATTAATAGGCCATCGTGCAAAATAATAACAATTTAGTATTAACACTGGAGTGATAGATGTGCAGAAGAAGATGTGCAAATAGAGATACTGGGGTGCAAATTAGCAAAATAAATAACAATATGGGGATGAGGTAGTTGGGTGGGCTAATTACAGATGGGCTGTGTACAGGTGCAGTGATCGGTAAGCTGCTCTGACAACTGATGCTTAAAGTTAGTGAGGGAGATAAGAGTCTCCAGCTTCAGAGATTTTTACAGTTCGTTCCAGTCATTAGCAGCAGAGAACTGGAAGGAATGGCGGCCAAAGGAGGTGTTGGCTTTGGGGATGACCAGTGAGATATACCTGCTGGAGCGCATACTACGGGTGGGTGTTGCTATGGTGACCAATGAGCTAAGATAAGGCGGGGATTTGCCTAGCTGTGATTTATAGATGACCTGGAGCCAGTGGGTTTGGCGACTAATATGTAGTGAGGGCCAGCCAACGAGAGCGTACAGGTCACAATGGTGGGTAGTATATGGGGCTTTGGTGACAAAACGGATGGCACTGTGATATACTACATCCAATTTGATGAGTAGAGTGTTGGAGGCTATTTTGTAAATGACATCGCCGAAGTCAAGGATCGGTAGGATAGTCAGTTTTACGAGGGCATGTTTGGCAGCATGAGTGAAGGAGGCTTTTTTGCGAAATAGGAAGCTGATTCTAGATTTAACTTTGGATTGGAGATGCTTAATGTGAGTCTGGAAGGAGAGTTTACGGTCTAACTAGACACCTAGGTATTTGTAGTTGTCCACATATTCTACGTCAGACCCGCCGAGAGTAGTGATTCTAGTCGGGCAGGCGGGTGCAAGCAGTGTTCGATTGAAGAGCATGCATTTAGTTTTACTAGCGTTTAGGAGCAGTTGGAGGCTATGGAAGGAATGTTGTATGGCATTGAAGCTCGTTTGGAGGTTTGTTAGCACAGTGTCCAATGAAGGGCCAGATGTATACAAAATGGTGTCGTCTGCGTAGAGGTGGATCTGAGATTCACCAGCAGCAAGAGCAACATCATTGATATACACAGAGAACAGAGTCGGCCCGAGAATTGAGCCCTGTGGCACCCCCATAGAGACTGCCAGAGGTCCAGACAACAGGCCCTCTGATTTGACACATTGAACTCTATCTGAGAAGTACAGTGGGGGAAAAAAGTATTTAGTCAGCCACCAATTGTGCAAGTTCTCCCACTTAAAAAAGATGAAAGAGGCCTGTAATATTCATCATAGGTACACGTCAACTATGACAGACAAAATGAGGAAAAAAAATCCAGAAAATCACATTGTAGGATTTTTAATGAATTTATTTGCAAATTATGGTGGAAAATAAGTATTTGGTCAATAACAAAAGTTTCTCAATACTTTGTTATATACCCTTTGTTGGCAATGTCACAGGTCAAACGTTTTCTGTAAGTCTTCACAAGGTTTTCAAACACTGTTGCTGGTATTTTGTCCCATTCCTCCATGCAGATCTCCTCTAGAGCAGTGATGTTTTGGGGCTGTCGCTGGGCAACACTGACTTTCAACTCCCTCCAAAGATTTTCTATGGGGTTGAGATCTGGAGACTCCAGGACCTTGAAATGCTTCTTACGAAGCCACTCCTTCGTTGCCCGGGCGGTATGTTTGGGATCATTGTCATGCTGAAAGACCCAGCCACGTTTCATCTTCAATGCCCTCACGATACATGGCCCCATTCATTCTTTCCTTTACACGGATCAGTCGTCCTGGTCCCTTTGCAGAAAAACAGCCCCAAAGTATGATGTTTTCACTCCCATGCTTCACAGTAGGTATGGTGTTCTTTGGATGCAACTCAGCATTCTTTGTCCTCCAAACACGACGAGTTGAGTTTTTACCAAAAAGTTCTATTTTGGTTTCATCTGACCATATGACATTCTCCCAATCCTCTTCTGGATGCACTCTATCAAACTTCAGACGGGTCTGGACATGTACTGGCTTAAGCAGGGGGACACGTCTAGCACTGCAGGATTTGAGTCCCTGGCGGCGTAGTGTGTTACTGATGGTAGGCTTTGTTACTTTGGTCCCAGCTCTCTGTAGGTCATTCACTAGGTCCCCCCGTGTGGTTCTGGGATTTTTGCTCACTGTTCTTGTGATCATTTTGACCCCACGGGGTGAGATCTTGCGTGGAGCCCCAGATCGAGGGAGATTATCAGTGGTCTTGTATGTCTTCCATTTCCTAATAATTGCTCCCACAGTTGATTTCTTCAAACCAAGCTGCTTACCTATTGCAGATTCAGTCTTCCCAGCCTGGTGCAGGTCTACAATTTTGTTTCTGGTGTCCTTTGACAGCTCTTTGGTCTTGGCCATAGTGGAGTTTGGAGTGTGACTGTTTGAGGTTGTGGACAGGTGTCTTTTATACTGATAACAAGTTCAAACAGGTGCCATTAATACAGGTAACGAGTGGAGGACAGAGGAGCCTCTTAAAGAAGAAGTTACAGGTCTGTGAGAGCCAGAAATCTTGCTTGTTTGTAGGTGACCAAATACTTATTTTCCACCATAATTTGCAAATAAATTCATTAAAAATCCTACAATGTGAATTTCTGGATTTTCTTTTCTCAATTTGTCTGTCATAGTTGACGTGTACCTATGATGAAAATTACAGGCCTCTCTCATCTTTTTAAGTGGGAGAACTTGCACAATTGGTGGCTGACTAAATACTTTTTTTCCCCACTGTAGTTGGTGAACCAGGCGAGGCAGTCATTTGAGAAACCAAGGCTATTTAGTCTGTCAATAAGAATGCAGTGATTGACAGAGTCGGAATCCTTGGCCAGGTCGATGAAGACGGCTGCACAGTACTGTCTTTTATCGATCGCGGTTAAAATATCGTTTAGGACCTTTAGCGTGGCTGAGGTGCACCCATGACCAGCTGGGAAACCAGATTGCATAGCAGAGAAGGTACGGTGGGATTCGAAATGGACGGTGATCTGTTTGTTAACTTGGCTTTCAAATACTTTCGAAAGACAGGGCAGGATGGATATAGGTCTGTAACAGTTTGGATCTAGAGTGTCACCCCCTTTGAAGAGGGGGATGACCGCGGCAGCTTTCCAATCTCTGGGGATCTCAGATGATACGAAAGAGAGGTTGAACAGGCTAGTAATAGGGGTTGCTACAATTTCGGCGGCTAATTTTAGAAAGAAATGTTCCAGATTGTCTAGCCCAGCTGATTTGAAAAAAGCTGGTGGCCGGGGTAGGGGTAGCCAGGTGGAAAGCATGGCCAGCCGTAGCAAAATGCTTATTGATATTCTCGATTATCGTAGATTTATCGGTGGTGACAGTGTTTCCTAGCCTCAGTGCAGTGGGTAGCTGGAAGGAGGTGCTCTTATTCTCCATGGACTTTACAGTGTCCCAAAACGTTTTGGAGTTAGTGCTACAGGAAGCACATTTCTGTTTGAAAAAGCTAGCCTTTGCTTTCCTAACTGATTGTGTATATTGGTTTCTGACTTCCCTGAAAAGTTGCATATCGCGGGGGCTTTTCGATGCTAATGCAGTACGCCACAGGATGTTTTTTTGCTGGTCAAGGGCAGTCAAGTCTGGGGTGAACAAGGGGCTATATCTGTTCTTAGATCTGCATTTTTTGAATGGGGCATGCTTATTTAACATCGAGAGGAATGCACTTTTGAAGAACATCCAGGCATCCTCTACTGATGGAATGAGGTCAATATCCATCCAGGATACCCGGGCCAGGTCAATTAGAAAGGCCTGCTCGCTGAAGTGTTTTAGGGAGCGTTTGACAGTGATGGGGGATGGTCGTTTGACCGCGGACCCATTACGGACGGCTATATACAGGTGGTACTGGTACCGAGTCAATGTGCGGGGGTACAGGTTAGTCGAGGTAATTGAAGTAATATGTACATGTAGGTAGGGGTAAAGTGACTATGCATAGATAATGGTAGTGGGTTCGATCCCCGGGACCACCCATACACAAAAATGTATGCACGCATGACTGTAAGTCGCTTTGGATAAAAGCGTCTGCTAAATGGCATATTATATTATTATATTATTATAATAGATGATCAACAGCGAGTAGCAGCAGCGTAAAAAAATATATAAATGAAACCAAGATAATGAGTATTGTTCAAATAGTCATTCACATAAATTCAACAAACCCAAATTATTTCTACAACCCAGTTTGCTGACAACATCACAGCAACTAGCAAAGTAACGTTACCTCATCAACTCAACAATGAATTGTATGTTACTTAACTTACTTGGCTACACAACACTGAACTGTATCTGCAGTGTCAGACTCAGATAAACGTTAGCAGTCTGACATACTGTTGCCTCGCTAACCAACTAGAGCACCAACAGTCATTATTAATGCTAGCTACATTGCATGACATGAAATTAAAGCATGGAATTATACATTCCCCGCTAGCATCACACTCACCTCATCTCCCGACCCAAGACACTTGTAACCACTCTTTACAATTTCCCAGTGAACGAAACACACAACAACGTCCTGTGGACAGGTAATGCTGCTTGCTACTCCGCTGTACAATAGCTCTAAACCAGCCATCTTTCGGAAAGTTAGGAATTGATAGCAATGTTTGACCAGAAATTAAACCGAAAGGGTTGAGGCACGTCTGTTTATGTTTGTCGTTGTGTTTTGGTCCGACACATTCCTTCGCCGAAGTGAAAACAATGTACCTTTGTATTGGGTTCCGGGTGCGCATACGCTGTTAGTGTTGTCTACAAATTTGACAGGGCAAAATTACATCTTTACGAATTATTTCAAATGTCAAAAATCTAAAATTGATAGCTATGTTTTACAATAATGTTTTATTCAATTCCAATACAGACATTATAGCTCATGAGATAGGCCCCCAGGTGTCCCTGTTAGCCACATAAACCACTTTAAAAGCAAGGGATTCGGGTAAGCGTTGGCTAGAGGGAGTTTCCACTATTGTAAAAACCATACGAGAAAGTGTGCACACTTTGGGAGAAATGTGGAGAATTGAGAGTCAACCATGGATGTTATAGGGTACAGTGAATTTATCTCAGATGATCTGCCATTGTCATAGCCCAACCGGCCGCAAGATGGCGGTATTATTATTAGGTGTGCATGCAAAGCAATGCACAACTCTAGATTTCTTACATACACATATTATTGGGTGTGCATGCAAGGCAATGCAAAACACTAGATTTTTTACATATTCATATATTTAGGTTAGCTTGCTGAAAGCAAAGCACAACTCTAGATTTCTTACAAAATACTTGATTTCTTTAGCCCCCTGTAGAGCGTAAACGAAACCAACTTCCAAATGTCCAGACTTCGCCAACTCAGATTGCTTGAGAAAATATTTTTGATAGCATTGATACTTTTTGACCTATAACAATATTTAAATGAGCTCCCAATGCATTTCAATGGCAAAAAAAAAAGGCACAGACTTGAATGGTAAACAAATAAAAAATTCTAGACCTATCTCCACCATTGAGATGTTCTGACTGGCGCAACTTAGATTGCTTATCAAATGATATTTTATACTATGTATACTTTTGGAACTATAACCATTTAAAATGTGCATCAATTAACATTGGTTTGAATGAGAACCACAGGAATATCGTCCAATTATTAATAACATGTATCAACTATAATTATATAGATTAGCATAAAATTACTCACCAACAGTAACTCTTGAACCGTTCAAGCTAGAGACACCAAACCAACTTTCACATGTTCAGGCTATCCTATCAATCAATTGATTCTTCACACGCTAGCATGCACACCACATTTTCTTCAGGAAATGTACTTTTCTAGTTATTATTTGATTTCTTCCACTCACTCTAGCACTTAAACGACTTAAGCTATTAACACGAAACCATCCTCCAAATGTACAGACTGCCCCAACTTAGATTGCTTGAAAAAATATTTTCTATTTAATTTATTCTTTTTGTACTACAACAATATTTAAATGAGCTCCCAATGCATTTCAATGGCAAGAAAAGTGCCATGGAGTTACATGGGGGAAATTATCTAATTTGTCCGTGTATCTCCTCCTACACCATTTAAGCTATCAACGCCAAACTAACGTTGAGATGTTCAGACTGACCCAACTTAGATAGTTTGAATTCAGATTTTTGATAATATTTATAATTTTTGAATTATAACCATTTTAATACAGTGGTAGCTACTTAAAATGGTCCTACTCCCTGGCCAGTAAAGCTTTAAGATCAACTTTAAAACATTCAGGCTATCCTAACGGCAAATTCTTTAAGGTATAAACTATAACTATATTATTTTATTATTATTATAACTATATACATTTGCAGAAATGTGCATAACATAACTCACCAACAGTAAGTCTTGAATCGTTCAAGCTAAAGACACCAAACCAACTTTCACATGTTCAGGCTATCCCAACTTTACATTAAATTTTTTTTATTTTTATGAACTATAACTATATATACATTAGCCAAAATGTGCATAAAATAACTCACCAACCTTAACTCTTTAACCGTTTGAGCTAGAGACACCAAATTCATGTTCAGGCTATCCTATCTTCAAATTCTTTAAAACTTGTATGAATTATAACTATATAAATGTGCATAAATTAGCATAGAATAACCCACCAACAGTAACTCTTGAACCGTTCAAGCCAGAGACACCAAACCAACTTTTCACATGTACTACGCTAGAGTGGCGAATGCTGCACCCAGATGTTCCGCACCACATTTAGCCAATCAGGTTGCAGTCGTCAGTTTTTTCACCCCTGGTCTGTTTCAAAATAAAAGTGGTGCTTACTGAACAAGCAGTTTTTAATGACATGTATTGGATTTGTTGACAACTCGTTTACAAAACATTCTTTAAAGTTTGAATAAGAAAGATCAAACATTTATGAAGTGAAATTATAAAGGAATGTATTGTTTACAGGTTTATTAAATTACATGTTCATAAACATGTGCAATCTGAAAAGTCTAATTAATAGTCAATAAATAATGATTATCATATTTTTTTTTAATAGTCTTATTAACACCATAGTCTTGAAATGGGCCCAATCTCAGTGCACGTTAGCCCACATAAAATATGTAAGGCGGTGTATTGATGCCCCAGACCAGCTTATTATATGGACCCCCAGGAACATAGACGACTTGACTATGTCTACCTCAACACCCTGGATGTGGTGGATGCCAAAATAAAGGAAACACTTGAGTAAATAAGGGTTCAGGCGGCTTTGTTATGGTGTGAGGTGTATGGTTTAGGTCCACTCAACCCCTTTAGAGGGCAACATAAACGCCAATAAATACACAGCCATTCTGAGGGATCACCTTCAACCTATCCTGATGGGAGTGGTCTCTTCCAGGATGACAATGCCCCCATCCACAGGGCACGAGTGGTTTGGTGAGCAGTCTCCAGATCTCAACCCAATTGAACACTTTGAACAGAGATTCTGTAGCGGTGTATGAGACAGTGTTTTCCACCACCATCAACAAAACACCAAAATATGGAATTTCTCGTGGAAGAATGGTGTCGCATCCCTCCAATAGAGGTCCGACACTTGTAGAATGTATGCAAAGGTGCATTGAAGCTGTTCTGGCGGCCCAATTAATTATTTATTAATTCATTAATACACTTTATGTTGCTGTTTCCTTTATTTTGGCAGTTACCTGTACATGGTGTTGGAGGTATAAGTTGTAGAGATACACACAACAACAACAAAAACACACACCAAGGGTGTAGCATAACTTGTATAGTGTGGTAGTGCCATATCATGGATAAGAAGTCCTAGAGCAGGTTTGGTGAGACCTTTTCAGAAGAGAGGACAGGTCACCTGTTCCACTAAATCAATAACTGGAGATGGTGGGCTGAATCCAGGCAGAAGGCATTGCCAGTCAGTTGGATAGTCTGTGTCCCTGGGTTGTGGGAGAAAACACAGAGGAGAACAAAGAGAGTTAGTTAAAGTACAACTAAAACAACATACACATCTCAAAGTCAAAGCACAGGGATTGGGCCCACTTCAAGACTATGGCTTTAATTAGATTGTATTTATTGATATTCAATATTTATTGACTATTAATTAGACTTTTCAGATTGCACAAGTTTATGAACATATCATGTAATAAACTTGGAAACAACACAATCATTACAATAATTGCATATTGCATCTGGGGTGAAAAATACATGTATTGTACTCCAAATCTCGTTTTAACTTTATAATTTCACTTCATATATATGTTTTATCTTTCTTATTCAAGCTGTGAATAATGTTCTGTAAACGACTTCATACCAACAAATCCAATACATGTCATTAAAAACTGCTTGTTCAGTAAGCGCCTGAAAAGTATGCCTACAAAATATTCTCATGACATAAAGTGGCTTCAGAAAGTATTCACATCTCTTGACTTTTTCCACATTTTGTTGTGTTACAGCCTGAATTTAAAATGGATTAAATATACATTTTTTGACACTGGCCTACACACAATACCCCATAATGTCAAAGTGGAATTATGTTTTTAGAAATGTTTACACATTAATAAAACATGAAAAGCTGAAATGTCTTGAGTCAATAATTCAACCCTTCTGTTTTGGTAAACCTAAATAAGTTCAGGAGTAGAAATGTGCTTAACAAGTCACATAATAAGTTGCATGGACTCATTCTGTGTGCAATAATAGTGTTTAACATGATTTTTGAATGACTACCTCATCTCTGTACCCCACACATACAATTATCTGTAAGCTCCCTCAGTCGAGCAGTGAATTTCAAATACAGATTCAACCACAAAGATCAGGGAGGTTTTCCAATTCCTCACAAAGAAGGGCATATATTGGTAGATGGGTAAAAGAAAAAGCAGACATTGAATATCTCTTTGATTATGGTGAAGTTATTAATTACACCCTGAATGGTGTATCAATCCACCCAGTCACTACAAAGACACAGGCGTACTTCCTAACTCAGTTGCCGGAGAGGAAGGACATTTCACCATGAGGCCAATGGTGACTTTAAAACAGATACAGAGTTTAATGGCCGTGATAGGAGAAAATTGTAGTTAATCCACAATACTAACATAATTGACAGAGTAAAAAGAAAGACGCCTGTACATAATTAAAATATTCCAAAACATGCCTCCTGCTTGCAACAAGGCATTACAGTAATACTGCAAAAAAAATGGCAAAGGAAGTCACTTTTTGCCCTGAATACAAAGTGTTATGTTAAGGGTAAATCCATTACAATACATTACTGAGTACCACTCTCCATATTTTCAAGCATAGTGGTGGCTGCATCATGCTATGGGTATAATTGGACTGGGGAGTTTTTCAGGACAAAAAATAAATGGAATGGAGCTAAACACAATCCTAGAGGAAAACCTGGTTCAGTCTGCTTTCCACCAGACACTGTGGCGTGTGATTTGGACGGAGTCAGGCGCAGGAGGGTAATTCACAGAATAAATGGTTTATTCGGTAAGACAGCGGTACGCAAAAATGCGTAAAACACTCCAGTGCGGTATTACGGCGCACTGGACACAACAAGGCACAAGGGTGAATATCCCGGTGATACAAAATACAAAATAGCTCCACCGAGCTATAGTAACCTCCACAATAAACAATCACACACAAAGACAAGGGATTCAGAGGGAATACTTATACAGGTACTGGTGAGGGGATA